AAAAAATCCCCACCAGGATGAAAATTCTAGGTCTTATATTCAAATCATTACTGCCCCTATTTTCTTCAACAACCTTAAATTCAGACTAGCTCAAAGAGCCATGACACTAACAGATATATCCCATATATATATTCTGGGTCACATGAACAAGCAGATCCTTAAGAAACCAATAAGAGCATCTCACTCTTAAAGATCTACTATTTAGAAGATCCCAGTAAGTCATAACTTGATTATTGGCTTCAAAAATGCTACAAAACCTGAGATGTCACCACTAGTAAGACATAAACTTACTGAGATGAAATGAATTTTTAAATTAAATATATACACCGAGACTGAAAATTGCTTTACGGATACTTCATCTACCCGATCCAGCTCCATATAAAGATTCTCTAGCTGCTTTTCACTATTGCATCTTCATTAAGAGTTCCATGTAACATAGGGAGGTTGTGGTTGCTATGTGTGACTCACATGAAGACTTTCAGCCTTCAGCTGGTGTGCCAGAGATTATTGCCTATTAAAATATGGTCAAGGATAAAAATTAGAAGAACTCAGATATCACTCTGTGTTGGATTCAGTAACTATAAAACATGTTAAGATTTGACCTTAAGCCACTCCTGAGGAAGGCTGACTATAGCTCTGGGGCCTATAATGAGGAAAGAGAATATAGCTCTTGCCTGAGATCTTGTACTTTTTGTTTCATAGAACATAGTTGCTAAATGAACAGGCAAATTTGCTGAACTATGCAAATCTCCTTGATCACCAAGATCAGCTCATCACCATTGCTTTCATCAGCCCCATCACACATGACTGGATTTGCCTGTACTGTAAGGCTCTTTTTACTATGCAGTTCCAGATTTCGCTAACTCAAATGACACCTAGAACCTACATAGCTTCGAATGAAGTAAGTGGGGCTTTGTGTAGATGTGAAGTTTTCCTTATGTGAAATTCTTTACAGATTCATGGCTTAGATTTGGTTTGCTCTGCTTTAGGAAACTCTGCTATCTTAGATCTGATAAAAGAATCTTGGTAACAGGTTAAATAATCTGAGCATAACACTTTCCATTCTGAAGAACAACTGTAGAAACTTGAATTCATTGTTGGCAACAAGCCTTTCATCTTCAAAAAAGACAAAGAACAAGAGCTAGAAATGTTGCTTTTGCTTATAATTGAAAAATTATTCAATTTTGGAGGGATCCACATTAATAAAAATGACTCCTTGTCTGTATTGAAACATAACCCTTATAGGAAAATGTCAATAGTCTGGTGGTAATATCTAAAAATGTGCCTGACAATGTCAGATTGATGACATTGCACTGAAAATGCTGGCAGAATGGGGTTACATGAAGTGATGGCTCTTTTTTTTCTCTTCCAGGCAAATCACACAATGATAACTGGCTATTATTAATAAGTCAATTAATAAGTTAACTGATGACACCTCAAAACAGATTTCTTTGAATCTGAGCAATCCTGGACCTTCACTCAGAAATTAATACCTCCTCACATCCCACATGGAAGATACACTACGGGTGTGCTTTGCAGAACTGGTGAGAATTAATCTGTCAAACAGATACCAGCTCATGTCTTTTTTTACTCTAAGGAATACAAGAAGAAAGTGAGAAAAGCCACCACTGAGCCCTCTTTCTTGTAGGCATGGTGCCTCAAAACCAGGATAGGGACACATGTAGTTGTAAGTGATAAAACTATTCAAAAAGTGTTGTTTCTTTTACACTTGGCATAATCTGTTTGGATACACACTTAAATTTTTTTAATTGCCAATTTCTGACATAAAATCTGCCATCTAAGAATTTAAATCAAATAGTTATGGGGGGTTTATTTTAACTGTATAGTATTTATTACACTTTTTAATTACACTTGCTGCATTCTAAATGCAGCTGTGGTCTCAGAGCCTAAAAACACTAGAAATGGTCACAGTTAATATCCTGAACCACAACAAGCCTAAAGGTAACATCATCAAGCCTGAAAGAATTCAAGAAGCATTTGGATGATACTCTCAGGCACATGGTGTGACTCTTGGGGATGGCCCTGTGAAGGGCTAAGAGCTGGACTCCATGATCCTTGTGGGTCCCTTCAAACTCAGCATATTCTGTGATTCTGTGATATTAAGGCTCAAGGATGCTTCACCTTTCTATGTAAAGAAAAAAGGGGAAAAGTTTTGAAATCCTCTTCCAATTTTGAGAAAAATGTAGACACATAAACACTGAATTTTAATAACTAAGATTTTTATGCAGCGTTTATTGTCCATTACAAATAACAAATTAATTAGTTTCTTTCACGTGCACTCAGTAATCAGATAAAATGCATGCTAAATAAATTGCTGGAGTTAGTCTACATTAATTTCATCATCTCTCTATCAGTCTGAGAGAATTTTTTTTTTATATCCTGTAATCTATTATATATTACATTGATATTTTAAAATCGCCAAGCACCACATTGAAATCAGCAGGAAAACAATTTAATGAACTTTAATTATCATAATTTTATTGGTTAGGAAAGACACTGTTCTCCTGCAGACAGTTTGGAAAAAAAATTACTCTTTTGAATTACCTAAACTACAAAATTCAATTATTTCACTTTTTTGTACGAAACAGACCTTTCATATCATATAATAACACTTAACTAATATGTAAATGTATGCCTATCAAGGAGGCACTTTAATTGCATATATCGTCTATCATAAGAACTGACTTTCTTTATGAAAGTATACTTTAGCTGACTTAATTATCTAGCCCTCTAATTATACAGTCCACACCAATCAACCAAAATGAAGCACTTCTATAATCTTAGTTTCACATGTCAAATCATTGAATATGTTTTTGCATGATTCTTACATTAATTAGAAAGCCAGATTTTGAATGAATGACAGTGAGTACATGAGGAGGCTAAGGGCACAAGAAAGCTCTCATGTGAGGGCAATGCTATTCCCTTCACCCAGATCTTCTGTTTCGACTCCACTGGCTAAGAGAAATGGCATTTATTTGGCCTTAGCAGACCATTTTTGTATTTTCAACTTTTCCCAAACTTTTTGAAGTTTTCTTTTCTTACTCCGACAATTATCCCACCTGTAGCACAGGTTAATATCTTTAGGGGGAATAGGTAAGACATGGCTGAGATCAGGAAGAATTACCATTTTTCTTGTGGGGGCTAGCACGGCAAGAAGTCTTATTTTTCTGGCTTTGGGCTGTGCTGACCTAACACATCTTGAGCATTATCCCATCCAACACGGGACATGTTGTGCAGCAGGGAAGGACCATAGGTTCACTTTGGGAAGTTTACAGTGGCTTGTATTTGCAGCTCATGGTGGTGAACATGACATACTATCAAAGGCCCCATTTTGTGGGAGCTAAGGAGAAACAAGGTTTCAGCAATGAGCCCTGAGGAGTTCCCTATCCCAAACTAAGGCAAGAAGACCTGAAAGGTAACTAAAGGTGGGTTAGCCCCTATTTTTTCTTAAAAATTTTTAGCTCACATTAGAAAAAAATTGAATGCCCATAGTAAGAGAATGGGATAATATCAAAGGGTCACTTGGCTACTTACCCTCACCTAGAGTAGCTCACATATTTGCACATACCTGTCAATTAAATGCTATTATTTCAATTGTCAGGCAGTCCTACTCAGTTGTATGAGTGAAAAATGAATGGCACACATATTTAAAAAAAGTGAAACTTTGTTCACTGTATTTAGTTTAAATGCAGTATTTCCAAATTTGTGGCAGAAGGAAAATGCTGCTTTATTACAGAAACAGCGTAAGTTGTTTCTAACAATTCTAACATTGAATCTAACAGGAGTGTTTTTCCTCTAACCAGTTATTACAACCTGAAATTTATTCAGGAAGTTGGCATTAATTTAATTCACTTCCCATAATAAGTGTTTTTATGAAGAGTAAAATAACTTTCTTACAGAATAAATCTAAAAACAATGCAGTCCCAAGATCTCAAAGTGAATCGAGATGAAATGCAGTATTCATAAAATAGCAACAATTTTATATTAGAATTTCGTTGCTATTGCCGTTGCAAAAAGTACTCTAATTTACACCATTTGTTAATTTTCACAAATTTTTCTTATTATTAATAGACAGGACTGCAAGCCTTCAAAGTAGGTGATTGTGAAATGAGAACCACATCTCACTTCAGTCCACTAGAGGGTGGCCTGCCTCGCTCAGGGCTTTGGGACTGAATGCACATAAGAGATCCAACATTTTCTTTTTTTTGACCTGTTGATAACCAATTCTTTGTTCTTCACCGTTGTTCATTTGCTATTATAAAGTAATTTCATTTATATAAGTAGTATTTATAATAAAAAAATCCCAACCTTTTCCTAACAATATCTATCTCATTTATTGTTTTGTATATCTGGAAGCAGGGATGATGATAATCACAAATTATTTTACAATTTTTAAAACCTTCATAGTTTGTATACTCTTTGTTCATGGACACAGAAAATGGGGAAAAAATGAATTCTTCACCAAAGAGCATGGCATAAAGAGAGAAAGAAGGAAGAAAGGAAAGAACAAATCTGTGCAGCCTATTGTTTATATAATTGGATGGCCTTAAAGAGAGACTCAAGTAGACAGAGACTGGAAGTAACTGACTTTATTTACCAACCCATTTCTCGGTTTGTTCCAAATTTTTATTTCTCAGGAAGATGCATGATTGCTCTTACTTTCTGCTCATAAACAAAGGCAGCAAAATGTAATATCTGACAAAATTTTGAAAGGGTGTAGTCTGTAAAATCTTTTCCTGTCTTGCGCTTTAAAAAGCACCAAAACTGGCAGTGAGGCACAGCATATATTTCCTGAGTAGTTTCAACACACAGTGTCCTCTGAACTACGGCAGCCTTTGTAGAACTTGAGTGGTCTCTAATAAGTTGTCCTGAGTAGAGATAACACCATTAAAAAAAAAAAAAAGAAAACAAAGCGGCGGGGGGAGGGAGAAAATTGGACCTCCCGATCTGTTCTGTAGAAACACAAAGCATGCCCTGTAGCTCCTACAAATCGGAAGAGATATCTGGAAGCGTGCACAGGCTGGTTTCGTGCATCCGTACCCGAAGGAGCAGTGTCACGTCTCAGACAGCTTCCCACGGCCATCCCGGCTGGCGCAGCCGCGCGTATTACGCGGCATCTGGGCACGGCGGAGCATCGGCTCCTCTCTGGGGAGGGGAAGGGGCTCAGCTATTAATGACCGCTGACAGGCAGCACCATGTCAGTGTGACAATCGAGCAGCTGAACGATGCACCACTAACCACCACGGAAACAAGAAGAAATAAGAGCAGCTAGCGAGCATCTCTCTGCCCCCCGCCCGCCCCCACCCCGCCACTTTCTCTCTCCACTGGATTGCGAGCCTCAGAGAGCCAGGCAGCAACAGCGCTCTGGCAAAGGCAAGGCATCTCAGCTGGCAGCACAGAGTGTCTCTCATGTTGTAGGATATCAATAGATACATCTTTGTACTATATAGACCGCTAGACATCGATTCACACCCATACATACATGTATGCACATCTATTCAGACTCTGGCATTAATACAAGAATGTGGCTACCTGAAGTAAGGATTCAAAATTACTGAGATGCAAGAACTCCTTCAGCTCTGAAACTATTCCTATTATAGGGTAAGTTTCTCTTTATTTTCAATTTTACCCTGACTTTTATCTTAACTTGTAGACTCTTTCTTCTTTTTGCAAAGTTATTTTATTAACATATTTTCATATTTTACTTTCTGAACAGAAATGCAAATACAATTTGCTTTTTATGTCAGAGATAATCTAAATATGATTGCAGTAGTATCAGCTTAGTGCATTTGTTAGCTTTAAATAAATAAACAAGACACAGGACAGCCTCCTTTCTTTTCTCCAGTGCTAGGATTAGGGGAAATGCTGTTTATGTCAGGACCTAAAAACCACTGAGGAGTGAGGCTGAATGAGCATATCACAAACAGTTATTGAATTTCTGCCAGGCTACATCTTAAGGATTGTGGCAAATGACTTCGCTTGAAAACATCCCCTTTCCAGTCAGAAGGGACAGTGTGAATGTCTGATTACTGATGCAGCTGGAACAGATCCTAAGGTAAAAAGGATCACATTAAGCAAAAGAGTTCTAATCTTCTTTGGTAATTAACAGGATCTCTGCAGGGTGCCTCTAAAGTATATTTACATGTAAGGACACTGTTCAGATCCATTACTACAAAAGCTTTGCTTGGAGTAGTACAGAAAGGCTCATAACTGTTTGTCTTTGCTTTCCATGTCTTTGTTTTCACATGTCTAGCTGGAGTTTTTGCCCAGCACTGCTGCTGAGAAAGAGAACCAAACATAGGGGGATAGAGGAGGGAGTAAATGCAGAGGGCTAGAAAAAAAAATCAGTGATTTTCTATTTAGCCAATTTAATCAACATAAAATTTCATGCTAGCACTGCTGTTGCCTAATGTTTTTATGCATGTGTATGTCATTTTTTTCATGCAGAATAAGAGTACCTTAGTATCCCTTCAGATAAAAAACACATTCAGTAAAGTCCATCAGCATGGATCTGTAATTCATGCATCTGTGAAAAAGAGATATTTTACTTAACACCGTAAAAAAAGACAGGTTAGCTATCTGATGCATGCTTCAAAGTGAGAAAATACAACCTGCATCTTCCTGTATGCTTTTGTTTGCTTTTAGAGCACTATATCTGTATTAAAACTACCTCAGTATTTAGATTATTTCTCCCACCCCTTTTTCTCCCCTCAGCCCCCTCACTCCTGTACAGTCTGGAAAGCATCATAAAGAATTTGTCCCTTTGCAGCAATGCAATTATTTGCTTGTAATTTTAGAGTTACTGTGTTTTGAGAAACTAACGTTGTGAAACAAGCATCAACAGATAGCCACTGGGTTTAAGTCTGCCACCTTACCAAAAATGTCAGGCGATGGGTAGCTTAACATTAGGTTTGGTAAGAGTCAATTAATTCAGGTGACCTTTATAAATGGTGACAATAAAGCAGCTCTGACAATGTGCCACAGCATTCGACGTTCCCTCTGGAAAATGAATGAGCTTAAGAAGAGGTTTTCTTTTCAGAGTACAAAATGAAAGGTGTGGAAGCATTAGCTCCTGCTATTGGCAAGCTTGCTTCCTCTATTTCAGATAGTCTATGGAATCTCTTTAAAGCAAGTTGGCTTATTTTATATGAAACACAATCTCTGATCAAATTAAGTATCCTGCTTGCATTCACATTACATGTGCATTTTAGTTGTTGAAACAAGAATTTCAAGCTTCTAGATTGGATTTTTACAGAATGTGCTATACAATAAACAGAGAAAAACTGATTCTGATCTCTTCATGCTGTGTGCAAAGGACTACTCAGAGGAAACTTTTTCTACATACCATGGTACCTGCTCAGCTTTTCTGAATCTTTATCCTTACACATTTTAAATGTAAAAAATAAGTAAACATGAGTAATTTTACACTAATGCATATTGGGTTTTGCCACATATACTCTAGTGTGCTACTTTAAAATATTACATAGATATGCCAAAGAGTTTCGGAAAAATGTGGCCATTTCAATCATAACATGTACAGAGAAAATATGCTGTAGATGCGGTGTCTCAGGACACAGCAAAGACATTTTTAAAATGTATCATGACTGTATTTTGCTAATACTCCTTCAAAGCTCCTGTAATAATGTTGTGGTGCCAGGAAACGACTGGCTGATGTTGTTATGGTAACCCCCGAAGTCCCACCTCTCAGGGTGGCAGCTCTGAGCATGACATCAGAGCATGCCTGTTTGGAGTACCCTGAAGTGGGTGAGTATTTCATTTTTTCACCAGAATTAGACCAAATCAACTAGGCAATGTTGCTAATGTGTAATGCAGATAAAAATTTTGTGTATAATCTTTGCTAACTGATCAAGATTGAGCAGCTTATGAAAATACCCAAGTCCTGCAAATCACTTGTGATCACTTGTCCCTTGACACTAGGGAGCAAAATTAAGTGTTTGCAAGGGAGAGCAAACCATTTAGCAGTGTTGGAGCCATTTGCTTTGACTCTCACTCTTAGCCTTTATTATATTAGTGATTATTCTACAAACAACCCAAAAGCTTTGCTGCTTAGCGAAAATGGCTCTAAGTAAAAGTAGGCTGGTATTTAATAGACACATTTTAGAGCATCAAAACAATAGAAAAAAAGTGGTAGAAAGCAAAGAGTTTTCCAAGACAAGCTCCATCAAACTTCTGTAAGAAAAGTGACCACAGAGGAAAAACGAAACCTTTTTTGCACTGTAGGTTTTAGTCATCTATAGTACATCAACATTTCAGTTAATCGATATGTCCTTTCTTCGATAGTACCATTGAAAGTTGAAGGAAAACAAAACTCTTAAGAGAGACATTGTCAGAAACTATCTTAACAACCTCTTCCATGTCAAATTCCACAAACTCTACTTAATATCAAGTAGCAAAAACTGAAAATGAAAAACTAATTTCACATGTAGCACTCAAGGAACTATTTTCTGAAGACCAAAGAATGGATAAATTCTAATTTTTTCTGAAGACCAAAAATCAGACATCTTGTAAATTTTTTTTAACAGAAAAAACCTAAAAGCCTTCATACTACTTTAAAAAGAATACTAATTCTCATTCTAACAACACAACAAGCAATTCAAATCCATCACTTTACTGAAAGGAAAATGACAGCAGAATTTGAGAAGAAACAGTAGTGACAGATGTCATTAGAAAAGTCATTAAACACATTAGTATTAAGAGAAAAATCAATACTTCTCATTACAACTGTAATCTAACTGTAAAAAAGAGTTACTGTGCCTTTTACTTATTCAACTGACCAGTCCACAAACTTAAAAGCTGTTAGTGTGAAATGGCGTAGTTCATAAAGAACTTATTTAAACAAACAGTATGACCTTCAGTGTTATACATACAATCTATAAATGAGTTCATCAGTGTTTCCATAATAAATTCATATCCCCAGCTGACCCAAACTGATAAAAGCTTATATCCAATATGGATGTTAGAAACATAATTCCACTTTGGGTTCTTCGTGAAGTAGCTGAATGTGACATCTGGTGAGAAAGAACATTTTCATGAGGGCAAAATACAAATTATTTTCAAAAATTTCCTTGATCCAATTACCCTCTCCCAATAGGATTTCCTATTCTTTATACATGGAAGATAGTGTTGTATAATCAATCAGCCATAATACAAGCTACAGACATGCTCTCACCCCTAGCACTCCCAAACCTGTTACTTGTTTTCTGCAAAGCAAAAACAAATGCAGACATTGAAATTAAAGGAACTATTAATTTTATAAACACAAATTTATACAATGTATCCTTGAAACAATTATCTTTCATTTAGAAATATTTCTTTTTCACAAAAGATTTATCTCAATACAACTCTTCCTCTTTCATCTTGGCTACAAGCAGCAACACTAATTCAAAGAAAATAAGATCTCTTCCCATTATTTCTATTCAGTTGCTGTATTTCTGGAATTTATTAAAATATCTACACCAAATTTAATGGTAGTTTAACTCTACTGACCTCTGTATTAGAGGAGAAAAGAAATTTTGCCTCTTTTCCGCTCTCAACTCCCACAGACTCAGACAAACTGGGAAATGCTTTTTGACAACACTGGCACAAAAGAAACCATTTAGCAGTTCTCTTTCCTGCATAAGCATCTGTATTTAGAGGTAAACACTGCAAAGCTGAATAAAATGCTGCAGGGAATATTTTTTAAAATGTCTACTGATTATTAGAATTACCCCAAGAGCCTTTTACTAGAAGTTTCTTGTTATGCAAATAGCAACCAGTTTGACAGGAAATACTTTGAAGTCTCTATAACATTTGGTATAAAAAAGGTAAAATTCTTTAGTTTAGCTGTACCAAAAATGCCTGGAAATCCAAATATCAGTATGAAAAGAAAAGAAAAATAATTTTTATACAGTTCTGTGTCTAGGGATCAGACAATTTCAGAAATCACCTATTGAACAAATTACAGAATAATAAACCAGAATGAACATGGGATAATAGAACAAACTCCCGTGAGCAAAGTTGTGCATTGAGGCCTTTTAAAAATCATCATAGTATTCTATGCTATAGTATTCTGTTATATCATCATCCTGGATGAGAGAAGATAACTCTCCACATAGTCTTTACAAAGGCAAGAGAATAGTCAGACATTACTAGGGCTCTTCTAGTGTGGTCTTGAGAAGTTAAAGGTAACCACACTGGTTAGATTTGTCATCATGGTGCTAAAACAAAAAGTCACCCTTATTGGAGATAGCATGAGAAATATATCCCTGATTTGGGAGGCATATAAATAAGTGCAAATATGGAACTGGTTCCCTGAACAAGGATAAACGTAAAAGTCTTCTACTTCTCTTTTAGAATGGTAGCACATCTCTGCTGAAAACAGAGATATATAGTCACTATTTATATCATATTTATGTGATTTTTTTCTGTACCTAAAGGCCTAATAAAATTTTTCATCCTGTCAGGAATATTTTTATGTGAAAACAGAAACTTTTCTCAAAGATTTTAGCAAGTGTCATAGCTGTAAATAGAAAGACTAGAGAGCAACATTTGTTTCTTCACCCCAAGCTCACTCTTGTTGCCAAGTTCTCTCAAGTCAATGA